AATAGTTTCATGTTTTAAATAGATTTCAATGGAAGTGTATGGGGGGGAAAAATGAAAAAGATTTATTTGCCTCTGGTCAATAAAATACTAAGTAAAAATGAAAGATTTTATCTTTCCTGTGAGGCGCAGTTGGTTATTTCAAGGTGCAGAGAATAACAAAATTACCCACCTTCTCATGAACTAGGCTCATTTTCATTTTCTGCCAGGTGGTTGCTTGAGTCTGACAAATGATTGATTTGGTTTCAAAGGGTGCTTGAATTGCACAAAGTGTTTTTCATATTAGAAAAGACATGGTCATTTTTTTCCCACAAGTTTTAAGATTTATTGCCTCACACAAGTATTATAAATTGGTTTGTTTGCTATTTGTTTTCTCTGGATTGTTGTAATTGGTATCATTAGCTGAAGGGCAAGTTTTACAGATGCTTAGAGGGGCGGCTTTTTAAACATGCACTGTTCTATTTTTTCATTATTATTATTTTTTAAAAAATACACTGCTGCAGGGCTGCAAGTCAGATGGGTGGACTGCTACTTCCCGTTTACTCACCCTTCTTTTGAGATGGAGATCAACTTCCAAGGAGAGTGGCTGGAGGTCCTGGGCTGCGGGGTCATGGAGCAACAGCTGGTTAACTCAGGTACGGAAACGCCTTTACCTCATTGACGTCCCTGCTAGCAAACACTTGCAGGGCAGCGGGTGTCACAGTCGGAGCTGCCCCCTGCTCCCTCGCGAGTGCAGGCGTTCCCGTTGGGAGCAGCAGTCCTCACCTGGAGCGCAGAGGCTGCGTGCCGCCGCTGCAGCCTGTCCGTGGGGCCGCAAGCAGAGCTGGGCTTCTGTTCTGTGAGGGGAGGAGACCGATGAACCTCAGCTTTAAAAGATAACATAATGAATTGGCGTGTGTGTTTTTCTGTCTTGCAAGAGAAGTCAAGTGCACTCGCACTTCAGATTTAAAAGTGTCATAAACAAATAGCATCCACTAGTATTTGAAATATCAGAATGTTCCATTATCTCTGAAGTATAGAAAGAGGAATCTGACATCTTTCATATTGCTGCTTCGTTGGTGGGTAAATGATAGTTTGCTTTCTGTTTTGTTTTGTTTTGTGCCTCAGATTGGTTATTTATGAGTTTGAAACTACACTAAGAGCAGCATCATTTAATTTAGCTGGAATTATTACTGAGAAATGTCATCTAACATGACTTGCCTTCTAAAACTTGCACATAAGCAGGAAGGAAGGAGAATCGACATTTCTTTCTGCCTATTTTCAGAGTGGGAATTTTATGAGCTTGATTTTTCATTGGCAGAGAACAGGCTGTTTGTGTAAGTGCTGTGCCGCTGGTAGGTGCTCAGACCTCTGTCAGTCAGTGCCTTCCAGTACCATTTGTTAGGAATGGGAGCCTTTGGGGATGTGATCCATTTATTTCTTGGGAGTGCTCTTTCAAGTAACTATGTTAAACTCAGTTGATCTTGTTGCAGTTGCTTTCTTAAGCTGTTGTTGTCTTTTAATGTGCTGTAAGGTCTTTCTTTTCGATGTTCAAGTATGGTAACTATAAATGGCTCAGTTTTCCAGTTACTTAGGGTCCCATGTTTTCTTCAAAGTCTCTATGTGCTTTATGTGACTGTTTTCTTTGAGATGTAAATCCTTTTCCAGAGCTCCCCCTCGATGGGTTAATGGCTTATGCTTGAAGATCTTTCTAGGGCTATCATGTTCATGCTGTGATAAATGTGATATAGATTCTGACTGTATAGATATAGTTTCAGAAATAAATGACTTTGCAATACTATTTATATCAGATAAGACTTATGACCAGATTTTCTTGTTTCTCTTCTGTTTAGGTTTTTTTAATGTGTGTTACAAGAGCTAAACTCTGATCTCAGAGCAATTAATATAAGAATGTTGATGTGTGTATCAATGTGTATGAAACACCAGTGGGAAGTTTTCTACACAAAAGCTTTCAATTTTAATAGGCCCGTAGCTTTTTGTCACATTCTAAATAATGGTCTTCAAAATTACATCCCTTCCTTCCAAAACTTTTTTAACTAGTTGTTCATTGTACTTCTAATCTTTCAAGTAACACACAAATCTAGTAAATCAAGGTCAGCATTTGAATGACTTCTGTACTTGCACTATTAATTAAAAATTCTGTTACTGTTTTTTTTTTTTTTTAAAGATTCTTTCACTCCATTAGCAAGATATTTTTAGAAGGCTGAAACTCTTTGTCATGGAAGTGTCAATCTTTCTTCTTTCTTTTTTTTTGCTTTATTTAATGAGAACTGCACTTTGTGTAAACATGATTTTGCTCTTCTGATCTCTCCAGTGGCTATGCAAAAACACTTGGCTGAGTCTAATGCCTCTCGAAATGACTTTATTGAAGCATTGGAATCTGTTTGCCACAAGTGAGGAAGAAGTGTGGCCATAATTTGTGCTGGCTAACAATTAGTTGATTTGGTTTAAAATAACAATGAGAGTAAGTTAATGTTTTCAGTCAAATAACAAGTCAAATGCCAATTTTCTCTGCTTGCTGCGGCTCCAAGTATTTTTTTTTCTTTATTCCTGTTTTAAAACAGTTTAAATCCCAGCAGCTTGTAGGCAGGCCAGCTTAGTGAAGCCAAGTTTGCTGCTGCTAGCCCATAAATTTGAGTGTTATGGCAGCAAGCTGCCTTTGTCTGGAATTGAAAATCCAATCCAGACATATAGAAAGAAGAATTTCTTTGAAGAAGGCTGAAGGTGAAAATTTTCTTTCCTAGCTCCTTCAGTTTTTTTTTGTTAGCAGCACTGGAGCGCCCTTCAAAGCCATCCTTGAGCAGTGAATTTTTTCAATGTTTTGAAATAGTTTGTTAGTTTGTGAATGTGAAATAGTTTGCTTTCCACCTTTAGAGCACCCCTTGTGCCTCCAGTTTCCATGATCAATGCTTTGCTTAATACCCTGCTCCCAAGCCATTAAATCTCTTTGAAGCTCCAAAGCTTTTAGTTGAGTTACATTACTACAGTGGTGTTATCAGAGTATAAGTCTAAAGCATGTTGGTTATGTAGGACACTCAAGATAAAATAAAACCTTGACTGTTAAATGAGTGCAGAGTAGCAAGAAGTAGGGTCTTCATCAGCCAGGGAGAGGAGGCCTGTATTTTCCAAATAGCTCTGTCATTATACCTTGATTCAAAATATTGTCTGCTTACCTGTGTAGGAGACAGCACTATTTTCATTCAGTGGAGAATCACAGGCAAAAGAAATAGAGATACACTGCTCAAAAAAACTGCTTATGGAAAAACACGAATGGTTCTCCTCCTCCCCCACCTTTTGCTCAATGATTGCAAAATTCCTTAGTTACAGATGGGTATCATATGGCCTAACAGTAAGCATCTAAACTCAGGGTGCTGACCCACAATACAGATGTGACTCCTTTGACTAGGGAGGAAACACTGTTGTCTACACCTACTTGTGCCCAGTCTTTTCTTGTTAGCTAGGCTAGAATAGTCACTGGGGAATTGCTTGTTCCTGCTTCAGTCTCTTCACAGACGCTACCAGGAACCAGCTCAGTAGGGCTGCGTGGAAAAGAGAAATGTTATTCATCTTTATCTGGCAAACCTGGTGCTGAAGGAGTATTTGTTAGTTGTCTTGGTGTGACAGTTCTCAGGCTGGAATTGGAAGGATCCTTTTCATGGTATGCTGCACAGTCTGCTGCAAACTGGAGAAGAAAACAATGAGTTTGCAGAAATTATAGGGGAAGCTACGGCAGAATGAGCAAAAAATGATTTAAATCTTTTCTCCGCAAAAATATTTGTTTGAAATGATCTTATTAAAATGTATTGTGCTTGTGTGCAGTTTATCCTTTGCTTCGAAGAATTTCAATGCTCCAATAAACTAAATAACTAGCAGAAAGACTGTGGCATTTTAATAGGATCTTCATATGGCATTTCCAGTACCTTGCAGTTTGGGATTTTTGTCTTAGGGGCTTTTTGTTTTGCTTGTTATTGACTATTAAAATACATATTTATGAAATCTAATGTTTGTGGCTAAGCATTTCTTTTCTTTACATAAGAAAATATTCTTTTCCTAAGGGTAAAGAAGATAGCTTTTACCTACAAAAGCCTCAAATCCATTGTGTATGTGTTAAATATGAAATGCTGATTTGTAAAGCAATCAGAAACAAATCATTTAATGTATAAGTTGGATGTACCTGGTCATCTTCAGTGATTGTAATTTAAAGTCTTTGAGGATTCTTCAGCACAGATGGTTTTTATACAGTTTTGTTTCTCGTACATGTGTGTGTGTGTGTGCATATGTAGTAACATACATATACATATATATAGTAACTGAAGAAGCTGTGTGGACAGATTAAAAGACAGGGTCAAAGGGGCTGGATATTAGGCATTAAGTAGCTGTTTCTTTGTGTTGACAGATGATTCTGTCAAACTGGCAGATCTTGTAATCGCAATTCCCTGCCTGAAACACTTCACTATAGTTCCTTAGAGGTTAACCTGAATATGCAGCAAATTTTGATGGTATTGACAGATCATTTAAGATTTTCAGTCTTGAGTGAAGCGTTTCACCATAGCTTTAATACCCTATGGAATCAGAATTAAGTTTGTTAAATTGTTATTTTCCAAAAGAAAACAACCTGTTAAAATCTTTTGATGACTTATATTTAGGGAGAAACCTTTCTTTGTTTTCACTCTCTCTTAAATAGAATGTGTTAGAGCCATTTGGTACATCTAAACAGAAATTTACTGGTTATAGGGAAAAATCATCACATTTGTTCAAAAATGTTGAGTGTTCTTCATTATCTGCCTTACCATTCTGCTCATTTTCTCCTTTTTTTTTTGATGTCTGTAAAGAGGTTCCCTAGCCTTCCCTCTTTTTCTTACACTTTTTAACCAGCTAAATTTCCAGTTTCTGACATGGATCTCCACAGGTAACAAAGTAAGAAAGCATTGCTTTTTGTTGACATTTCTCAAATAGAGAGATGTTATTGTCTTCAGACTCTGCTAGTGTTTTATTGCAGCCTTGAGATTTCACATACAGGAAATGTTAAATCAGTTTTGGGTTCGCCAAGAGGGAGGCAACCAGCTGCCTCCTTAGTCACTCACTAGGTAGTGGGGATGATCCAGTTTTGTGATCCATTCGGATTTCCGTGTTGACAATGGGGAAGGTTCCTGCTGTCTAGGTGTGTGAAGGAGTAAATGCAACCTGAAAAGAACTGTAGGTACCATTTCTATTAAAGCCAATCCAGATGTGGAATATTGTTTGAGTTGTTTTGCATTTAGGAAAGTATCCTACTTCTAACTGCATGGTGAATATGATGTCTATCATACATGATATTAACTGTTTTTAAAAGAAAAATAAAACATATATGCCACTACAGTGTTTTATTTAAATTGTTGAAAGAACATGCAGGGAACAATATCGCATGTTTTCATATGGCCAAAGAGGCTAAACTAGAAACTATAATTTTCAATTTTTTATGTGCATTTTGTTTGTCATCTTAAAGTGTATTGAGTAGGAATGCTGTATATAAATCTTAATATAAAGAACAGTTTCTCTTACCCTGATTGATGCAGGAAAAATATAGAAACTTTTACAGTACACTTGTAAGTAGTTTCAGTTTTAGGTCCATGGTAAGTCGTAGAACTAACATGAG